GCCTACAGATGAGGATGATCCCCTAAGAAAGAATTATAATAGTGATTTAACTCAACAATATAGACACTGAATAGATCAGAGGAAGTTGCAAGTACCTCATTTGAAATAAGACAAAGTTCAAATGCCTTGCTGAGATTAACTTAAAAGAGTAAGTCATACCTGACCACCAAAATTTTAAGATAAGAATACCTGTTATCATACACCATAATTTATCAAACTCCCTGAGCATTCTTTTTGCAGCCCATTATGTTCCTGACTTTGTCATAGCAGGTTGTAATCACGAAATCAACAACATCCCACTTCTCACAAAATGTTCCCAAATTTTTTACCTGTCAACTGGTATTAGTACCAGTTCTTTTCTGTATTTTTAATAAGGAAGAAATAATTGCCTTATACTGTATTTCATCTCACAGGATGAGAAACAGTAGTTCCCACCTCCTTTTCTGTGACATTTTAGATGCTGGTGTGAGCCTGAACATACTTGCTCTGTAGAGTTTCTTCTCTTCAAACATCATCATTGAAACAGAAGGGACACTGATTAATTGAACAAATCCAAGACTCATTTAAATACCGCAGATCATTCTATTTATTTGGAAAAGATTTCAAACCCCTTAATTTCTTAGGTCTGTCACTATTTTCTATTGACAGGAAACCTGACAGGCAAAAATCATGCTTACTCCAATAGGGATAAATATTAACAAATAAGCATTAAACCAAAAATTGCAACAAATTCTAGATGGCTGTCCTAGATAGCTCTAGAAAAGCCCAGTAGGAAGTATGGAGGTTCACAGTGCAGAAGTGTATATTTAGTACAAAATTCCTCCAAATTGTCTTATCATGGCCACAGCCTCCCTGTGTCTGTGACAATAACTACTGTGATGAGAATCCTGTGCCTGTTCACTTTTCCTTAGGTACTTCCTCATTGAAAAAACTTAATTACAAAATTTCTCAATCTCAGAAAATGACCTTTAGGTGACACTTAAGTGCTCTCTTTAAGTACCAATACTCCCTACCACTTGTTAAGGGGTTTGCTCCTAAAACTGAGAGCACAGCTCTGAAATGACAGCCCATGTTAACTTACATGATAAAAAACGGAAGTGAAACCTGTCCTAGGTTCAGGGAAGAAAACAGAAGTTAAATACGTTTAAAAATCAGGTTTGTCAGCACCTGTAACGAGCTGCTTCTCCAAACCATTTGCTCAATTCAAATACCCAACATAAAAAGATCCTTGAGAGAAAACCAAACAAGACTCAACAACTCTTAAATCCATGGAACAGATTTCCCTTTAAATCACAAGTCAAAAGTAAACAAAGCCTTGAACTCAGGCATGGTTAGAGGACCAGATCAAGAGTTCCTCAGAGAACTGTGCTGCCTGCAGACACAATGAGAGACAACACAACCCTCTGGCTGTCCAGCCCTGAGCACAGCATGGGGCTCAGCAGCCCCTGCCCAGTGCCAGGGCTCTGTCTCTGTGCCCATGGCCAGCACAGACCCAGTGCAGCCTGAGCACATCCAGCAGGGCCAGGCAGAGATCTCAGGGAGAAGCCTCATTCCTTGGTCCTTGCCAAAAGCAGCCTGCAGGGATGCCTGGGAACCTGGGTCACCACAATGCTCTGACCCAACTTCCTGGCCTGGCCTCAGATGTGTCCGATCCCCGCAGAAGTGCCTGGCACCAGGGTCTCAGCTGGCCCCGGTCACTGTCCCCAGAGCTGTGGTGCCCTTGTCCAGGGAGTGTGGCACTGCCCTGCTCCTCAGGGAGGTCTGTGCCCAAGCCCCTGCACCCTTGGCACCCTCACTGGGCTGCAGGCTCACCTGCCTGCTGGAGGCACCAGCATTTGCTGCTCCCTCCCTCTGGCTCACTGCAATTCTCTCAGGAAAAGTAAACAAGACCCTGCACATCAGGCTCTTAAACCAAACCTGAAGCCAAAACTAACTTCTCGCAGTCCTTTTGAAAGAGGACCTACAGAACAAGATTCTAATTGATTTTAGTTATTTATATGATTTTTTAATTATGAGGGTGATAAGACACTGGAATAGGTTGCCCAAAAAAGTCATATTCAAAGTCAGGCTGCACAGAGCTTTGAATGACAAGGTTTATTAAAAGATGTTCATGCCCATGGAGGCAGGTTGGACTAAATGATCTTTAAAAGTGCCTTCCAACCCATTCTATGATTCTATGATCTTCAGTTGCTTCAAGCAAAAACCACCCACCCCAGTTGCACCATCAGCACCATGGGGATTTTGCAGAGTTTCCGACTGTCTTGCCAAACACACATGGGAAGCAGCATTGCTGTTTTTCAGTGCCTGATCTTAGACTGAGATTAGGACTACAGGACATTTGGATCTTTGAGACTGCTGGGAGATTTTTAGTTGTGTGCCAAACCAAAATGCATTAAAACTGCATTTTTCTCTAAGGCTAGCAATGAATGGTAGGTTGGAATTTATTTTATATTACAAAAGCCACAAAACGTGAGGAATTCCTAAAGAACCACTACTCTCCAAGATTCCCAAGCTAACTGAAAATTACTTGTTTTCTTAATTCTGGCTTTCAGAATGTTAACATTAAAAACAATTTGTGATGATCAGGAAAGCCTCTGAAACATTTTTCCATATTTCTGCATTTGATTCACTCATCAAAACCAACTGCATGTGTTAAGCCTATTTCATAAGCCTCTTTTCCCTTTTCAGAGTAATATTGCTGCTTGTTACAGAACAGGCACCATTTTTACAGCTTCATGAAGAGATGAGATGACCACTACCCACAAAATATGTGAACTGGTAGTTAGACATAAAAATGTTTTAGTCTCTGGTAGGAAATGATATTTTATATTTATTTTCTAGAGAGAGAATTACAAATTATTTTTGCTTGACTCCCACACATGCAATATTTACCCCAAAAGCTAAAACAGAGAATTTCATTCAGCTGCTAGGCTGCAAAGTTGGTTTTGTTGATTCTGCTGTTTTTATGAGTCACCTTTCTAGTCAGACTCTAAATTCCCAAATCCATTGATACTTTACAAGGAAAAGGTAGATTTCAAATATAGCAATTTATAACAAGACTTGGAGAAGTTATGAAAAGAAAAGAAAAAAATCATTCTCGGGATTTGCCACGGCAATAGCTGTGATGGAGCTTTCTCAGTAAAGCACTGAATTTTCTTCTCACTTTTTCAAATATCAACCAATACAGAAAGATTCCTCCTATGTCCACAGTAGATTGGTGAACTAGGCTTTTTGTTCTTATATGCCCTGAATGAAAGACCAGGTTTAAGAACAAACTTAAAATGTCAGAAATTAAATTCTCACTCCCTCTGAGAGTGTTCACTGCCTACAGCAGAATTCACACTAACGGACCCAGAAATCTGCTACTGAGATGTGTTAAAGGTCTTTACTATTGGATTTCCAGAATATTTTACACCAGTTTAGAAAAGCTTCAGAATATTCCATCTGAGTAACAAAATAGTAACTAACAGAATGGCTAAGTGGTGTGGTTTGGATTTTTTTTTCCCCACTGACACTGTTCCTAGACAAGAACATCCCTTCCAGATAAATATCTACTCAAGTCCTGACCCATAATTCTGCAACTACATTTGTCTTGCAAGACAGTGATATGCTTCACTGATAAGGCTGATGGCAGCTCTTCAGCCAGGGCAGTCCATTTCATTGCAGACAGCAAAATTAACTTCTGTCTGAGCAAAAAATAAAAAATAATAAAAAAGAGAAGACTCAAATGAAATTGATTGTTCTTAAATTTATATTTAACAGATAAATTTTATGCGAATTTATGTAAACAAAGTTTAAATATACACCGAAAGCATTTCAGGAAAAAGGAATGAAGCTAAACTGAATGCACAATCAGGACATAGCAACATTTGAGTGCAGAATTCTGCCTATTATAGAAACTGAAATGCTAAATGGTGTCCAGACTTTTTGAGGATATTGATGTGTCTCCTTTGACCCTTCCACAATGCAAATGCTGGAGTGACTTGATGTAGCCATCAGAACTGCTGCAGGTGAACAAAATCTAGTGGAAGGCAGCCATTAAGCATGACAACACAGTCACAGATGTGAAACAGATTTGTTTCAATGGAGAACTTTTGCCAGAAATCTAAGTTCTCAGAAAGGGTTCCAATAGTCTCTCATACTGATAGGACTTCAATAATCTAATTATCAGCTTCTCTAACTTGAAAATGCTCAAGAAGAAGTAACAATTAAACAGAGAAACACCGTGAGATTCCTGATAAAAATGAGTCAGTGAATAAGAGCAGAAGAAGCTGAATATTGATGATGACAGATTCACAAGGAGGAAAACAAATTGTCAAAAGAGAAAAAAGAAAAGGATCAGTTTTGGCATGACAGCAATATTTTTTTCTCTTCTGCACACTTAAGCTGACCTGCAAAATTGTAAGAGCTCGATCAAAGCTCCAAATTTAGCCAATTCACAGGTGTGTATATTTCAGATTAGTTTTTGAATAAAAAGAAGACTTTGAAAACCCTAAACTGTTTAATTCTTATCAAACTAAAGAGTCAGGTTCTGAGACAGAGCACCTACATTCACCATGACCAGAAATTCATTAGCACCTCTTGGTTTCTAATACAAAAAGTCTGGGGGTAAAATGAAAATGAAGGAACCTGAATAAAATCCAGTCCTTTAAAAACTGCAGTAAGATATTCCCTTTCCACAATTCTAATCATAAAGCTGGAAGTCTAAACTTTAACCATCACTGTTTTGTAAGGATGTAACTTCTCCCCACTCAGTATGAAAGGAAAACAAGAAATTACATTTTCAGTGGTCCTGAATATGAGTTCAGACTTACGTAAATAAAACTTCAGCTATTTAGTCCAAATGAGCAGACTAGGAAAATTAACTTGTCAGGAAAAATAAGAATACCGAACAATTTTTATCATGGCTTAACATTTCATTTAGTCTAAGCATCTCAAAGAAACTTCAAGATCAAAATTTGAAAGATGGAAGAATCGCTTTATACAGAAGCACCACTTACCCACAATAACAAATCCATCTGCTTCTCTCTCTGGCACTGTGACCTTCTTTGAATCTTGACTTTTTCGGAAGAAGCTGAACATAGTCTCTTTGGGTTCTTTTTGTCCTCTGAGGTGTTATCTAAAATGAAGGCAAAATATGTTAAATAAACATATGATAACAGAACTTACAGTAAGTTCACATAACAAACATCACCAACAGATACCACAAACAAGACTTTTTTTGTCCTCTGGGGACCTGTGGCAACTCAGTACTGACTATTCATTTAAACTGCCTAAAATTCTGCTGTTACAAGTGATCAGGCACTCCAGATCATACACTAGGTATGTAGTAAGGCCACATACCTAATCTTTATTACCCAATTTGAAATATCAGGCATTTTTGTGTCAGATAAATTACCTTGTTGATGCAGCAAGTTACTTCAAGAGGCAAGAGTAGAGTGGAGCACAGAAGGCTTTTATACAAAGTTATGAATGGAGAGGAATCATCAAAAAAAATCAAACAACAAACTAACAAAACTTAAACTTTTTCTCAATGAAAATGAAAGATGGAAACTCCTTTCAGCATTTATATTTTATATCAAAATATGAAATATGTACTCATATTTTTCTGCAACTTTGTATTGTGATTAGACAAGCTTTCTCTTCAAAGAGGGCAGTAACTGTTTTCAGTTTCCCAGTTCACAATCTTAAACACAGCCTAACAGTTCAGTATGTTTGATTAACAGTTACCAATGATTTCCTTAAAAGAAAAAGCAGCAAAATCATTTGTAGCAATTTTTTGCAACAATAATTGATTAAAAGAATCTTCCAAGGCAGCTCCACTGCTAGAACAAAACAAGGAAACAATTGGGATAAAACCACGGACTGCAGAAGAAAATGCTCAGTATCCCCTCTCTCAGGACTGGAAGATTACATAGAAGCAATTATGAGTAGCTTAAATAGGACAAAAATACTAAAAACCCATGAAGGGACCCATGAGGGTCCCTCAAAGGCTGAACTTGGACCCCTGGACAACACCAACCCATGGAGCAGCCTGTGGTCTGGCTGAAACACATTATGTGCTGAACACAAAGAGGAAGGCTTAAATAAAGGCATGCAAAGACCTTCTCTACTAAAATACCCAATATAAAATTGGGAAAAGTAGAATAATGTAATTTCAACTTTGAAGGAGAGTTTGAGGAGCAGAATTCTGGTCTATTTTGCAGACATCAACATGTTACAGAGAAGGGACTGACAAATCAATAGCAACATCAAATATACATCTCCAACAGAGGAAAGGACTCCAGGGTAAAGAATTAAAGAGGAATACAGAGTCAAGTTTCAGTAACATTATTTCACACTGAATTTAACAAAGAAGAATCTTTAGAATGTGTGAAAGAGTGAAGAGTGCTACTGTGAAATGTGCAGATTAAAAAAAAAAAAAAGAAAAAAAGACAGATAAAAATCCTGGATTAACTACTTGTTGGAGTTCTTCATTCCCCACCCAAATATTCATGATACCATAAACAAGACTTTTTTTGCCCTGGCCAGAGACCCGTGGCAACTCAGTACTGACTATTCATATAAACTACCTAAAATCCTGCTGTTACAAGTGATTGTACACTGCAAAAAGTCCTGTGTGAAGTGTAAGCACTGGCCTGGAACAGTGTATAAATAGATCATGGCAAAAGCAGCAACTATTCAAACTGTGGCCTGATACCTGAGACTTGAAGACTGAATAGCCCACAGCCTGGCCTGCTTGCTTATGCTGACACAGTGCAGCTTCTGGCCACCAAATAAACTACATTACTGTGCACAAAAACAAAACAAACTATTCTGTGATCCAATCCCAGGAATACTGTTATTTTTTAAATAATAATATTTTACAGCACTTTATTCCTTTTCGCTTGTTTTCCTACCTTAGCAAGAGAAATACTGATATTTCCAGTTCCATGGAGATTACACAGTAGAAACTCCTAATTATCTCATTTATTCCTTACCTCCCCCCACACCCAGGCTCAACACATGGCGCCAGCAGCATATTCCTTTTTCAGCCCTGAGGGAATAAGTCTTCTCCTGCTACCAATTAGGGTTGTCAGTCCCATAGCTCAAGTGGTAAAAACCTGTGCTGTAATGCTTGAGAGTCAGGTTTCTGCTCCAATGATGTATGAAGGAGAGGCATTTGTGGAACAGTTTAAAATGCAATTTTACCTTCATCCTAAGTGTGCAACAACAAGAAGCAAAATCAACTTGATGTGCAAAATCTTACAGATAGCTTTGGTAAAGGCTCAGATTCCAGTCAGTCACTTGAGGTGCCAGAGCTGCAGTTGCTCCAATCACATTTTTTTCTTTTGAGATCTGCATTATTGTACAGTTTTCAGCTCTATCACTTTATGTCCCCCTTCCCTTCTTTCTAGCACAAAGAAAAGCATCTTAATCAGTATATACATGGCACAAAAGGCTTGTGTAGGGAACCATGCACTTTTAGTCTTTTAAATCGTCCATACTTAACATACCTAAACGTCACTGCTTAAAAGATAATAGGCATTTAAATTCAGAGTAAATTAGCAATCAGGACAATTTGATCTAGCCAAATTAAGGTTACAAGCACTTTCACATACTAGATTTTTTACTGTCGTTGACACTATCCCTTTTTTTTTTTAAACCCAAAGGATTCATCTTGTCTACATACATAAGTGCTGATCTTCATTTTGGAATTTTCTGTTTCTGAAGTAGCTTAATTCCAATGCCAGCAGTATTTCTCTAACAGAAAACAAAAAACCCAAACTAAACAAAATTACAATCAAAACCCACATATCGGTTTGTCTGAGGCAGAAAACCAAGAAAAATTAACGAAAGTACGTCCAAAGCTCGGGCCTCAATCCTTATGCTGTTAAAATCACCAGTCCAGCACTAGGAAAACAGAACCTGCTGTATTTTGTGACTGTGAATGTGGGGAGGCAGTATAAAAACCACATATTAAAAAGACTAACATGTTTCCTTCTCTAGGAGCCTCTTAGAAACAAAAGTTGTGCTTGTAGATTTTCTTGTTGAAGGAAGAGCTCACCAAGTATTACTTTCAGCTTTTCGGTAGCTTTGTTGAACACACCATTAAGTATAAACTAAAAAACAAAGAATTAATAAAAAAACAGAGGGGTGACACAGAAACAAAAAATAGAGCTGGCACAGAAACAAAAACCAGAGCTACATACAGTACAGCATGGGTAAGGGAAAGACTGTAGACAGGCAATGCATTTGTGATGCTCTTTTAAGAATCTTATCAACTGTGCTACTTCAAAAGTAAACATAAATCTCCCCAGCAACGGGAAATGCAACCACTAAATTTCTTGAATCACATGTTAAAAACAGAACAAAGCCCCTATCCAACAAAGAAACACAGAGCTGAATGGAAACACTCGTGCTCTTGAAGATAAGGACACAGTTTAAGCACTTGCAGAATCAGGCTGCAGTTTTACTACTTTTAGATAAGATGAGGTTTCAGGTAATGAAAGCTCAGAACAACCAGTTTCATATAAGTTTCATTTCACAGTAAAAATTAAATTGGAAGTTTGGAGACCTGGATGCACAGTCACACAGACCTGAGAAAAAAAGCACTTAGTTGTGGGTTTTTTTTAAAAAAGCTGTCAGCACAAAATCACAGAAAATACACCCACCATTCAGAGATAGTACCACATTCCTGCAGTCATTTCTTCTATATAGCACAGCACTTTTCCCTTCCAGATGGGATTAATTTTATTTCTATAGGAGACCTGAAATTGAATTCACTGCCTAAAGATAAAAATCTCCCTTGGTAGGAATATGCAATTCCCTTCCTCCTCATGTTTCTCTCTTACAAAAAAAAGTGAACACAATCGCTGATAGTTAAGAATAATGCTTTTGGCACAGCTTCAGTCATTAGCAAATAATAAGCTCTGAGCTACAGCAATTCTGTGAGGTTGCAAAAAATATTTTGTGTTTCTATGAGGCTCTGAGAACATACGAGGCACTGGACAAAGATGAGTTACAGAGCTGCACAAAGGGGTTAATTTATTCCTCCTGCATTCTGTCAGTCTCCTTTAACAAGAACTATAGGCGACCTTTGAGCCAAACCAATATGTTAAATCCAATAAAGTTTTTCTATACAACAAAGATCTTAGTATATTTACTATTGATTTTCAGCCTTTTCTGAATGTTCACAAAACCAGAGAAGAATCATAATTTAATGTTAAAAACACCAAAGATGCAGACTAAGATGAAGAGACAATGCCCAGTAATACAGAAAAGCAGAATTGCAGTGACACTGCCAGTAATTACATAAATGATGAAATGAGGACAGAAGAAAACACAAAACTGACCTTAAAGAAAGAACTGGAATAATTTCACATCTAGCAGCTTAAGATAGACAATCTATGGAAAAAGAAAACAGAGCATCAGATCAATTCTCACTTCCATACTACCATCTGCTGTGATTCACCAATAAAGTAGCAATCAGAAAAAGAGCAAGATGTTTACAGCCCTGTGCAATCCTTCTTATCATGAAAACAACCAATTTAAGAGTCAAGAATATGTGTGTTGAAAATATTCTCTGTGACACCAAAAGAACAGTTTAAAAGCTTTTGGCCTAGTCTAAGTTACTACATGAAGAAGGAAAAAAAAACCCATATAATTTTTTGCTCTGGCATTAACATTAGTCATGGTTCTTTAGTTCATATTTCTTGAAAGCAGAAGAACGGAAAGTACCACAAGAAACCCATTCTTTTTTAAAAAGGGATTTATGTATAATGAAACATTAACAAAGATTTTTTTCTGTATTACATAAAGTGTTTGTATTTCTTTCTAATGTTTTTATAAAATTTAAGGAAAGCAGAAATACAAGAGCTATACAACCCAAATTACTGTAATATAAAAACACTTGAAAAGGCTGAATTATAAAAATTCAGCCACAACCAAGTCAGACAATAAAAGCACAGGTGACAAAAACAAAGCCAGGAGTGAAATAACAGCACTTAAACTGACGTAAACATTCAAAACCCTGAAGACAGGAAATGCAAAAAGAGAAAGCTAGGTGTTAGTGAAACACAATACTCGACAGGCTGAAGCCCACTGTTTTCCCTTCAAACAATTTTCTTTAGAATGTAAGCCTTCAACAGCTGCTAAGTGTGATACAGACACGCATTTGTAAGAACTTGTACATGTTTTCCTCGATGCTGACCCTTCAAACTCTTCAGCCCTAGAAGTGCCACTGTGCAGCAGCCTGCTGCACCTCGCTCCAACAGCTCCAGTGATGAGATCTCTCCTTTCAAATCTCTGAAGATATGCTATGGACATGAGGATATTTTCTTGCAAATGAAATACTGAACAGGTGAATGTCACAGTGACACTGAGGGGATGGCAAGCAGCTAAATCTCATATAAGATTTAAGTCCAGAGCACTCCCTGATCACATGCTGGCTCTGCACAGCTTCTGGCAGCAGCTTGTTTCCTTGGCAAGCTGACACAAGCCACTGCTATATAACAACACTACCCCAGCCACCTAACCAAACCACTTGGAACTGGTTAGCAAGCTGAACTGGCCCGTGCCTGGTTACAAGAGACAGTCAGCACACAGGCAGTTTTGTGACTGCTCTTTTAAGCCAGAGCAGAGTTAGATTTTCCCAAGTACTTCCTGAAACACCAGTCTTGGAAAAGAAAAGGAAATCACAGCCACAGAATGAGTGCACTTGGAAGGGACCTTCAGAGGCCACCTCGTCCAACTCCCTACTTAAGAAGATACATCTTAAAGCTGGTTGTTCAGGACCATATCCAGGTGGCTTTTGAGTACCTCCAAGGATGGAGACCCCACAACCTCTCTGGGCAACCTGTATCAGAGCTTGGTCACTCTCATGGTGACAGAAGTGTTCCCTGATGTTCCTGTTTCAGTTTGTACCTTTTGCCCCTGTTCCTTTCACTGGGCACAACTGAATAAAGCCTGACTGTCCTCTGTGCACCCTTCCTTGAGGTATTTATATTCATGAATAAGAGCCTTCTGAGCCTTCTCTTCTCTAGGGTAAACAGTAGCAGCTCTCTCAGTCTTTTGTCATATTTAAGATGGTCCAGTCTCAATCATGTGTGACCCTTCTCTGGCCTCTCATCACCAGTATGTGCACATGAGCCCTTGCACCCAGCACTCTGGTGCCTCACTGGTGCATAGCAGAGGGGAAGCAGCAGCTCCCTCCACCTGCTGGCAACACCACGTCAAATGCAGATTGGGATATGTGAGTCACCTTTGCCACAAAAGCAATTGGGAGGAACCTGTCCATGCCAGGGATCAATTGGGAAAACACATGGAAAAAGACAAGATGCATGCAAGTGCCATGTCCAGATGCTATATCTGTCCTACATCCATCTGTCATTCTAAACTTGGGGATTGAGCATCAGCTCAATTTCAGTGATGAAATAAAATGAAATAGAATAGAATAGCTCAGTTGGAAAGAATCTACAGTGATCATCTGGTCCAACTGCCTGGCCACTTCAGGGAGGATGAAGAAAAAAAAAAAAACAAACCAGCACATTGTTAAAGGCATTTTCCAAATGCCTCTTAAACGCTGACAGGCTTGGGGCATGAACCACCTCTCTAGAAAGCCAGTTTCAGTATGACTACCCTGTCAGAAGAGAAATGCTTCCTAATGATCAACCTAAACTTCTTCTGGTGCAGCTTTGAATCACTGCCACGTATCCTAGGATATCCACTGGATACCGGGGAGAAGAGATCAGCATCGCCTGTCTTTGCTTCCCCTCCTCAGGAAGCCGTGGAATGATGAGAATAATTCTCAGCCTCCTTTTCTCCAAACCAGGCAAACCCGAAGTCCTTAGCTGATTCTCACAGACCACTGCCTTCACCAGCTTTGATTCCTTCCCCTGCAGAACCCAGAACTACACAATATTCCAGGTGAGGCCACACCAGCGCTGACTACGGCGGGACAGGCTCCTCTGTCTGCACCGTGCTTGATGCACCCCAGGCCGCCTCTTGCCCTCTTGGCTGCCAGGGCACGCTGCCAATCTACACCTGAGCGGAGCCGGTACCTGAAGGGAGAGGGAAAACGCCGGGGAGGGGAAGTACGGGGCGATTTCCAAGGATTCAATGACAGGACAGGGCTGCAAGCTGACGGCCGGCTCCCCCGGCCTCCCCGGGGCGCGGCCCCGCCGCCCTCCCCGCTGCGGCAGCACCGACAGCCGCCCCTCCATCACCCACCCTCCCGCGGCCGCCGCCGCCGCTCTCACCGGCCTCCGCCTCCGCTTCCGGGTCGCCTCGGGCGGAAGGGAAGTCCCGCCCCGGCCGCCGCGTTACCCGGGGCCGCGTCCCTCCCTCTGCAGAAGGCGGGAAGTGGCGCCGGCGATGGGCGACATCCACGAGGTGCCGCGGCCGCGCATCGCCACGGGGCAGCTGGCGCAGCACATCGGGCAGCCCGTCTGCTTCGTGGGGCGCGTCGAGAAGGTGCGCGGGGCGCCGGGCGGGCTCCGGGAGCGGGACGGGGCTGCCCCGGGGCTCTGCGGGGAGAGGCTGGCGCCGTCCCGGGGGCAGCCCGGCGGCTCCAGGCGGCCTGGGAGCGGGCGGGAGGCGGACGCGGCTCTGCGGGAAAGAAGCGGCTGAGGCGGCCGAGGCTGGGCGCTCCCGGCCGCCTCTGGAGCGCACAGGCCTTTTTTCTAGACTTAAATGTTCTTTTGTAGATTCATTCTAGCGGGAAGCTCGTCGTGCTTACGGATGGACTCGGAAAGCACACGACTGTGGAGCTGAGCGAGCCTGTAAGTTAAGGAGTGCTTTGGAAATACTTGATGCCGCCTCTTGTGGATTCCGGAGGTTTTGTCTCTTCTGAAACCCGTACATGCCTTCCATATTTTGAGTTTTTCCACCTGTATTTCATTGCCTCTCTTTCTTGCATCTTTCAGCTAACTTGTAGTCAGCCTTCTTACCCATGAGCTGCCTTACTCTTGATCAATTTTCAGCTGGTGCTGAGAGAACTCATTCTTTGTCAGACACATCCCTGTCTGGCTATTTCGTCTTACTCTATTAGTTGTTCACAGTGTAATACATTCCACTACGTTTATTAGCTTTATTTTAATTTCAGTCTTTCTTCTCATTTTCTTATAGCTTCTATAATCAAAAAGAACATGATGTTTTTATTAAAGAGCTTTTTTGACTTAACATTGTTTCATCCTCTTAGAACTCTTTGGTCATAGCGTTTCAGTAAATTCCATAGTTAGCTTGAATCATTCTTTCTTAAACAAAACCCCAAGCAATGAATGCAGTGGGTATAAGATATAATTTGAACTACTGAACAAAACTACTGCCTCTTTTGTTATCACCTACCACTGAAATAATAATAATTCGACATTCTCTTCTAAGTATGTTTTTTCCACCAAGAAATCTTGTAGTTAAAAAATTATTTTAATTGTGATGGCAAATGCTCTAGCTTGACTCAGTGCACGTGTATATTTACATCTTTTTCTCTGAATGAGTTGTTAAATACTGAGAAACTGCCATTTCCATGGGAAACAATTGTATATTGTACTCTCTCAGTCTTTCAAGACAAGAATCTGTCCCTATTGATGAAAAATGCAGTAACTGGCAGAGTTTTGTCTTATAAATGTAAAAATTGCTGACATCAAACTGCAACAAAATGTCTCTTACCTTTTTCTTGAGTTTATGAAAACATTTCCTGCCTTGGGTCGTTAAAAATTCAGATGTTAGCATCTGACCAATGATTCTATAATATTTTCTCTAATGGTGTAAGTGGTTGAACTCTGTAAATGCAAAGCTGTAGTGCTGGGCACTTCTGTTTGTGCCTCACTGCCTTGGGAGAAACTGGTGTGTGCAAAAAAACAAGGCCAGGTTCATCTCTCCAGTTCACCCAGTGTCAGTGGGGAAACTAACAGATTTGCTAATCGAAATGCTTGCTAACTTTTTTCCTTTCAATATATTTCACTCTTCGTGCATGTCTAGTTCCCTCTTTCAACAGAGGACCCCAAAATTATGGGGAGGGAATTATTCCAGAAGACTTACTAGAAAGTAAAAAATAAAACCTTTATATTGGAAGAGCATTACCAAAATGGTACTGCACTGTTAAAATTTGTATCTTAAAAAATAAAGAAAACATGCAAGCTGTATTATTTTGGCGTAATATATTACGCCATTTTTAGCCTTTTTTAGCCTTTTTTTCCTTTGTTCCACCAAAGGCTTATTAGTGACAATATCTTTGTATTCTGAACACTTACTGACACATTACTTAAGAAATTATTTCCAAATATGCCTTCTGAATGTGGAACACTGGAACTGCTCTCTGGAATGTGTGATACCTCCTTAACCCTTACAGAGTTCTATAATTGGCACAGGTTTGAAGGCAATTTGAATGCATTAAAATCAGAACTGTTCTCTCTCTGTGTCCTAGATTAGTCTCTGTTCAGTGATGAAATGACACAGTTTTTTATACTTATGAACCAGTATCTTTCTTCAGACACATCTTTATATTTTTTCTTGTTAGTATTGAATTGCTATTACAAAACCTGTAAATCTCTAAGTGGATCAAGGTTTTTGTGGTTTTTTTGGGGGGAGGGTGACCAGGCCATCCAGTAGTACTGTATTGTTTGACATGGAACAGAATCTGTCATGAGCAAACCATCAGCTGTGGAGAGTTCCTAGCTGTGCAGTAAAGACAGCAGCTATTTAGTGTTAATAATTTCATCTTTGGTGTGTTTTCTAGCTGGATGAGGAGATTTCAGGAGTTATTGAAGTGGTGGGAAGAGTAACAAATCAGGCAACCATCATGTGTGCATCGTATGTCCAGTTCAGAGAAGATAAAAGTCCATTTGGTAAGTAAGGCTATACGTTATGGCATATTCATTTGAGTTCTGAACTTGTCTTCAGTAAATAAGAAGGGAAAGCCTAGTTACCTTTTTTTAACAGACAAGGTCTTTCTTCAAGCTGCCAGATAAAGTACAGGGTGTAGAAAAGTGTCATGAGAGAAGTTCTGTACCAAATACAGTGGTTTACAGTTAAACTGTAGGAAGTGACTGAATGCTGGAGCCAGTCTAGATCATTGCTGTGGCCTCACTGTTCTCCCACTCCTGACCACATGGTTCTCACCTTGCCCTACACCTTGTGTGGTTGTGCAGCTAGCAGGCCTAAAAGTAACCCTCCAGAAAACAAGCCAACAAGGAACCCTCCAGAAAACAAGCAATGAGTGTTCCTGCCATGGGAAAACGGGAGCTTGAGGGAGACTGGGGTCTCTCAGCAGTACTGCTTTAAAATAAGCAGGGCTTGAATGTTGTCAGTGACTTGTGGGGAATTGAACTTATGCATTATAACCATTTTCTTTGCCCTTTTTCAGATCTGGAACTCTACAATGAAGCACTAAAAATTATTCATGATTTCCCTGAATACTACCCATTTGGTACTGGGAGGAACACTTGATTTTTATTAACATATATTTAGAGCTTCAGAGGGGACGACAGTACTGTGGTTTCTTGCCTGACAGCATGGTAACAGTTGCATTTATTTTCAACAGATATACTGAAAAGACACTGTTACATGTGCTAAGTGTTGCCTATGAAGAGTATTTTCTTTGAAAATTTATTTATTCAGCAAAGAAAACAAATGTGAATGTCTCACTCACTGTATATATTTAACCCTTTTGCATCTATGAGGAGCATTCTCTTGTAAGATTAGACTTGTCAGAAACTGAAATTTTGTAAGCATCCTTTTCTAATTGGTAGAGGTTCTAGGATACATTACAGGAAACTTGTATGGAAAATTTGATAAAGATTTTTGATTTAATTTGCTTTGATATAAATTTATTGTATGGAAGAGGTATTTTGCATCTTGGAAATGGTATCTTCACCAATAAAAGATTCACTGCATTTAGCCATTTGTGTCAGCATTAAATGTTAGAGTACTATTTTCAGTGATATGTGGCAACTCCTGTTCTATTTGATCTGACACAGCTGAATTTAACAAAGTGGAGTACAAGGTTCTTGTCTTTGTATGATGCTAACACTTGGGAGATGTTGAATTAGGATTGGGAATTTCAAGCACAGTTGAAGTCCCATCACAGCCTTCATTCTTGCCTGGAGTGACAGCAGCAGTACCAGGATTCAGCCAGTTTGTCATGGTGACTAACCATAGGAACTTCCAACAGTCCCCAATTTTGTTACTGTCCAGGCTATTTACAACACTTGGCAAAATTTCTGCATCACTTGAGGTAACACATTTAAAGTAAAATTGAACTTTGGAAATATTTTCTGGGAATTAATAAAGTATTTCAAAGTATTTTAAGTAAACTGTAGCCATATTCTTTGAACTTTTTTACAAACAGGTTTCAGGATTAGTAGTTAGATTTACTGCCTTAATAAGACTGATAGCTTTGTGATTATTTATAGACATCTCTTTTTCTAGTCAAGGAATATGTTTCAAAAACTGACACTCTGAACTCACTACAAACTGGAGGGATGAACAGATTAACAGAGGATCTATTTTTTTCTCCCTCCCCACCTAGAAGATGGATACTCTGTTACAGATACACTGTTACTCTGACTGGGAAGGAGGTCTTCTGAAGTAGGAATCAGTCTCCTACAGCAAACAACACAAGGTCCACGTGGCACAATGCCATGCCCTGTCTATCATCACTCTAAGTGTTCAGTAGAATCAAACGTCATTCTTAATAACTGCATGCATGTTTTCCTAGCATTTAAAACTATTTTGTTCTATTCTGCTTTAGAAAATTAGTAATTTGTGTACATATACTCTGTAAAATGTTATGTACAGTTACCCAGAGCACCCATGCCCAGGGGAGCAGCCTGCCACTAGATGGCTTTAGCACTTCAGAGACCAGCCTGGGTGTGAGGTCTGGTGAGGCAAAGTTTGAACACACCAAGTGGGAAATGCTGGTTTCCCTTCATCAGTCAAGACTCTCCTTGTTGTCCTGCAGCAGTGAAAGGTGGCTGGGCAAACTGGACACAACTAAAGGTTTCCCTTACACACTTTTCATTGGTCTGCTTCTCTACACACCATCAGTCTGTGAGAATAAATGGCCTACCCTGGCTTCATGGCTGTACAAATGCAAGGAGCTGTAAAACATTCTTGGTACTAGACTAGTGCTCAGGTCATGTATGCATTTATCAGCATAATTTTCTACACTGCCATTATGAAAATTGCCAGCTACTTTAAATACCAAGGGAAAGACACAACCATGCCAGCTAGGCCTGATGGTTAGCAGGGCACCACAGACAATAAAATGTGAGAAACTGCCAGCCCTCACAGATAACAAAAATGGGAACTAGGGGCTTCCTGGGACACTGACCAAAGGGGAGGCACCAGGGCAACTGGAATCAGAAACACCAGACAGGGATATCACCAATGCCAGTAATGGAAGGCATGAAGAGGAGCTGGTGGCTTCTTTGGGAGGACAAGAGGCTGGTGCATGGTGGGAACCTGGCAGAGGAGAAAGGGCATAGGAAGTGAATGCTGTAACTGGAGCAGACTTCTTGAAGTTCATGCTATTTGGAGGAGGACTACTGCCACTACATTCATTACTTATTTCTCTCAGACTTGGTACCTTTTTGCTGGGCTCTTGGCTGGCCCTGCTTGCCTGCTCTGCTGTCCTGGCTTGGGCATGGACACATTCACAGTTCATGTGGTGCTCATGAGCAAGCAGCCTGTGTGACAATAAAGTGCTTGTACTTAATCAAGGAAGGGCTGCAAGGCTAGAACATCTATCAAAATTACAACAATGGAATGTCATCAGCATGAGCCCCAGGATCACAACATTTTAGCATGCAAGGACACCTTCAGCAGAGTTGAGCTGAGATTTACCAGGCAACAGTAAACAAAAAAATAACTGCAGCTAAAAAAATGGGTGTAGCTATATTTTTGTTAGAAAACAAGAAATCACCCCAAAAGTGACAGATCTATTAATTTAAAAACAAGGAAAAAAGAATCTGGTAATTAAAAAACATAGTACTTTAGCTTTGTAAATTTTGCAAATCATGTAACTACTGACCTGAAAGGCTGATTATTAATTGCAACAACCAAAACCCATAGTACCAGAATATACACATTCATAATCCAAAACATTGCAAAGATATGAGGACTAGAGTGAGCATGTAATTTAACTTAGTGATAGAATTTGACAAACACAGTTATAATCGAGGTGAAAATGTTACAGATTAATTTTCTTTACATGAGAAAATGAGACACTCTATGTTGGTAGTTGCATTCACCTCAACATGGAAATTATCACAGAAATTTACTAAATGTTACTACACAAGAATAAAAAAAACTCTTGACACTTACCAATCCTCATTTACATAAACCAAAACCTTTATTGCCTGTATTTATATAAATAGGGTATCATACAGTAAGCCCCAGTTTACATTTATAAATGGAGAACATTTTGAAGAACTCTTCAACAGCAATGTGAAGTGTGCAAAAATACTGGAATGAGAAATAAATATTCTAAAAAGAAAAAAAAGGAACTGCTCTCCCATGCCTAGAAATACCAAGTACCTCTTAGATTTTTAACTTTAAAAATTGTCTTTGCCAATTTTAGATCAAAATAAATGCAGCCGATGTGTTACAACATTTATGCTAACTCAGAAAATATAACCCAAAGTCCTGAATGTAATCTTGTACGTCCACAGTACATGTACATCTTGTACATTTCCACATTTTATCTTCTTGAAACTACACTAGAGCACATAGAACTAGTGGTATATTACAATATATTCTCTTTGAAACACCAATTTTCACAGTCCTGGCAAATAGTACCAGTTTATTGCTAGCATTCCACTTCATATTTCATAGCAACAAGTGTTGAGTAACTCACATACTGTAAATAAACACACACCAAGTAAACTGATGTTATTATCACATACCTTAAAACAGGTTTGTTTTTTTCCCTAATTTGTGTGAATGTTGCCTACAAAGTCAAGGACAACAATACCAATTAGCTCCGAGCACAGTATTATCAAAATATCATTGATGTTCTCTCAAGTTAATAAATAATCTTAATTCCAGCTGGTAACACATCTAGAAGTACTCTGATCAATTACTCAAAACTGGGAGCAGATGGATGTCCACTAGTGACCAGAAGCAGGATTTATACAGGTTGATTCCACACTTCCCAATGTATTTCAGAAGTACAGGGAAATGCTGATTATCTCAAAGTCTTCAAATATCTTTGCAGTCAAAACTTGACGTAGTTTAAAACTTACATATTTACAAGTCTCCAGTCCTTGAGATTTCAGATTTTCACAGTACTAAATTAAAAATTTATCAGATACAACCTCCTATAGTTTACCTGCACTCTGCACTGAAACAGTCACATGACTTCACAGGGAACTCTTCTCTAAGATACAGTCATCACTAGGAGAGAAAACCCCCAAATTCTTCAGCATTAAAATCTGCATCAGCTAGATATGTAGCCTAGTTAAGTAAGAACTTGAATTGTAAAGACATTGCTTTACTAGCAACAAAACCTGGGAACAGAAAGAAAAGAATTTTTCTTTAAAATAAAAATGTTTAGAAGGCAGTTAGCAGTGGCAGTTTAAATAAACTTACAAGGAAACAAACAAACATTTGCATGCAAGACAGTGATCAAACAATGAACAGAGGAATCCATAGCATAACTTTGCCATCTTCTTTTCAAGTGTTTATTTTGAAGGTCTGCTTTCACAGCATATAAATTCAGCTTTGGGACCAATCAGCATTATCATGAAAACTTTTTAAATAAAGGTCTTCTTTGCATTTTAGCAAATTCAAAGAGTCCACAATTCCAGGAGTGCTTTTCTTCAGTCCTCTAAATAAGGGCCATGCACTGTACCTATAGGCTCACTTCAGGAATACCTGTTTCTACCAAGCAGTCATACACACATCATTTTACTACTTTGATAGCAATTTATTTTTTCATAGTAAGTCACAAATTACCTTGTCTAAAATATCTGCTTGGACTATGATGGACATCCATCAGAGAGCCACACATTTTCTAACAGTATTTATGCCTGGACAGTCTCTGCTGGAACGAGATTCCCTGTTGTATCCAGCTGCATACACTTACAAGAGCAGGCAGAAACTGGGCACTCAGTATGGTCCCTAAATAGCAACAGTCAAAAAAAGAAAAAACAGCTAAAATAATTTTGCAATTATACATCTAACTATGTGCAGAAGTATAGCATCTCAGAAAAACTCAGTATCACAGTTCAGTTCTGTTATTTAAACTTTATAATGATAGATACAGGGAAGGAGACATGTTCTACTCAGTGCAGAACACACATGTGAAATAACAAAATTTTAACACCGACTTACCTGAACCAGCTCAGCATATGTCCAGCATGTCCACCATGCCTACAGTTGTGACACCAAGTAAACCAGTTGTTGAATTGGGCTAACTTCTTGTCTTTGCTAAGATCCACTTTTTCATCTGACTTGGATCCTCCTGTCGAGAGGCAAACCCACCCCCACAAATATGGCTGTAAATCATTACACTTCATTTACATTTCAGTCCCAGAAACATCATTAAAATTATTTTGAAATAAGGAAGATAATGTGAAAAACCATTGTGATTTTAAAATAGAAGTAAGTAAAAAATATTAAGAACTGGAGGAGTGCCACAAAAGAATTAGACTGCTAAACTGTTGCTTATCTTATCTTTTAGATATGCTAAACTAGCCTATTAAACAAGTTTTACAGACAGAATCTCGTTCAATGGTGATTTATGTCTTATTGATTGATTTATAATCCATTTAATTATCCATGGCCTGTTCTGCTGCACATGAAATCTTCTGCTTTAGAAAAACAATCAACAAAATCTAAATTATGAGTTGGAAAAAGTTCAGTATAGAAGTCATAACAAAGATCAGTGAAAGAATGAGAAAGGTAAATAAAAACAACAACTGTACAGCTGCTCATGGCTCTGTAATAAGATTGACTTAAAAATATGGTCAAAATCCTTTTAATTTAGACATTATATAATGCTGAGCCAAAGGCATTTACAAGCAAACAATTCCAGTCATAATACCTCTTAGTTCTGACAGCATGACCCATGCTTTCTTTCATACTTAATAACAGAAAGTACACCACAACTCTCTTCCAGCTAAAAATTAATTACTTTACATTCAATGATTTGTGTTGCATGCCTGCAATTGATCTCAAGAAAACACACTCCCCATTTCTTTCAGTGGTAAAGCTCACAATACTGATCCTCACAATACTTGGATCTTTACATCTGTCTAACCATGGAATTTGACTGACAATTTCATGGAAACTGTGAGAATCAAGTAACTATGCATACTGTATGACCATTAAGAATTGAAACAAAGGTTTCATCCCAAAATCAGATGGGATGTAAACAAGTTCTCAATTATGGTTCTTCTCCCTTCAAAATGATGAGTATGAATATTTACAGTATAAGCACAAATAGAAAAAAGAAGTGCAACAGAAGATCTTTCAATAGGAACTGCTAATGTGGCCTCCAACTAGTGCTGCAGCTGAATAACTAAAACCCTCTGTGTCATACCTGGACAGCTGGAAACTGGTGTTCCCATATTTATCAGGCAAAGTGCACAACGGGGAAGGGGCTTACGGCAACCAGGACAGCTCGTAACTTTGGACTTGGTGGGGGAACCGCTGACTCCATACTGGCTAAAACCGCGCCCCTGGTGAGGAATAGCTGAGCAGCTGTAAGAGATTGATTTCCCACAGAAATTGCAACTCACAAACACCTAAAAAGAACAGATGCCCATTAATTTTTTGGTTTGGTTCCACTTTTGCTACACCTGTGAGTGAATCATCCAAGGTAATTAACATTTATTTACCAGATATTCTAGAGAGTGATCTGGAAAGCCAAGCCTACTTATGAGGGAGTTCTTAACATCTTGGCTTATAGATGAGGCACACAGCCCTGAGAAGTAGGCCTTAATGATGCTCACTAACTTCAAAAGCACATAAAAACATGCACAATTGCTAAAACTTTAAAAGATATTATTTAAGGTATTATAATAAAAGCTGTATCTTCAGTAATGGAAGAAATTAGGTTTATTCTACTTCTTACTATATAAAGTTTGGTCTCTCCCTCCTTTTAGTCACGTGACTCACACTACAATCCCCAACATAAAGATTATCCTAATATTATTTATCTACATCCCTTGTGTCACAGGTTATGACTTGATACCAAGGAGCACATATTTCAAATTCTTTAGGGCTATTTATCTTAAGCAACATAAGGAAGGAGCAGTAAACTCAACTCCCTCCCACTTGGAACAACTCTGCTTCAACAGCTCTGACTGATAAATGAATTCAAAACCAGCTTTCCTCAGAAACTCTCAGGCCCTAAAGCTCACAATGAACACACTTAGCAGACATGAGAGAGTAAAAGGTGCCATGGTGAGATCGTGCTGGCTGAAACTGCCAGCAGATGTTAAGAAGACAGCACTTGGGCAGGGCGTTAGTTTTTCGGTCAGTATACGTTCAGAACTGATAATGAAAGTTGCTGCTGTTCACTTCAGTTTCAGGTTCAAGGGCTTCAAAACAGCTTTAAAGTTTTTTTCAATTAAAACAAAAGCAATTTGAACTAGTTCCAATTCAGCTGGGTGATAGATCTCTGACTTCATTTTTCAGCATGTGAGAAAAAAAATCTGAGTTTCCAGTTTCCCCAGAAGGTAAGTGTTGATAGGTTACAGTTTCTGAAAGACCTGTTATTTGAAAAAAGTGACACCTCCTTTTTTTTAGGGCAGGCTAAGCTGAAGTCTTTCTTTTGCACATAAATCCTCACGAAAACCAAGATATGAGTAGCAAGGGTTTTTTTACACAAGTACCATGCCACGTTCCTTTATGGACTGGTCATATTTCATATAGGATTTATATTTACCTGGGCTAAAGGCTTTGAGCTGGGATCCAGCTTACTCCTATGAATATCAAATTCTGCACGTTTATGCCAAAACCTCCAGGCATCTAAAAGATTCCTGTAGTTCTCAATCCAGTACTGAACCCTTTCATCCTTAAGTACATCTGATGGAGAACCCTAAAGTAGGCAGGAAAAAATGTCAGAGACACATTAAAGACACACAATATGTATTAGTCACTTTTTCAAAATATATATTAGTCACTTTTTCAAAAGCCTTTACAAAGTGTACTACAAGATATAAGAAATAATACAGTGTTATTTATCCTGAAAAATATGAATTTTCTGTGAAATTGTAATGTGAGTGTGATAAATGTTTTCTTCAGTTTCTCCCTGGTTGAAAATACTTGTGTTGTCACGTCCTCCTAAGAACTCCTGTCTGTGAGATGAAGGATTTGAAAGTTCTGCCATGTTTCACAATTTGTCATGATTGCATATGCAGTTAAATACACCACTGGCAATAGCTGCTACTGTGTAAGGGCCAAGGTAAATCCATTATTAAAAAAAAAACCTCAAAGCCTACAAGAAAACAAAAAACCTCATTTTTGTTCCCTATCAAAATCCTGAAAGCAAAAAAAAAAAAAAATTCCTGAAAATGTCAGGAAACACATCAGCAATAAGCAGATAAATGGGTATTCCCAGTTCAGCTGTGAAAAGGATTACGATTTTCTTTTGCCTCTTTCCCCTACTACCTCCTCAAGCTACCTCAACCAGAGAGTGTGAAGACACATACTTACCAGTTCGCACTGAGTTTTTCAGATGACTCCACAAAAATAACCAAACAACCAATCGTCCCAATTTAATACAGAAAATACTTTTTAGTTCACAAGATAAAGAAACTACATTTAGTTTTCCTCCATAAAATTTATTTTGGAATGAAACACTAACCTGCAGCATGCAATAGCTTGCCGTCTGGACATCTCCAGTTCTATCAACATAACTTTCCATCAAGTCAACTCCATCTTTTGTCAGCCCTGTTAACAGTATTCCCTCCAAATTCCCAGCCTCTTTCATTTCATTTGTCAGCTTTTCAATAAACCTGTTGAGCTATAAAAAAATATATATGAAGAAATATATAAATACATGTAAAAACAGCATCTGCAGCTAACAGAATGCATTGCTTGCTGGATGTTAGGCAGAAGAAGTTAAATTACTATATCATATGAAACTGTATGAAATCAAGTGTTTATAAACAAACTTTAGGCTTCCTGATAGAAAATGCAAGGAGAGAGGTTATGTATTCTTAGATTACTTTGGTGAATTTAAAATAGAACATTTCTGCTGCAAAACCAAACCCTAATTTGAGAGAACATTAACACCTGGAAATAAATATTGAAGACATAGAAATACTCTCCAGAAAAACAGGTGTACAGTTAATGCAACTGCATCTGAACTACCGTGTAATGAACACTCACAAAACCTCCAAAACCACAAAACCAATAAAGCCCCCAAATCAACCAACCAAAAACAGAATCTAAAATTAACCTGGAAGTACAAACTAAAAACCAGATGACACCATACCTTATCTACTACTGCGATTAGAAAAAAAAACAACTCATGACTCATTATTTCCACTGTTCACCCCTCTACCCCAGAGTTTCTTCTGCCACTGAATAAAGTCCAGTTTAAAAGTTTGTTTAAATGTGCAACCACAAACTTACCTGAGCATCGTTGAGGAACTTGCAAGCAAATGCCACTCTGTCTCGTACAGCGACGTTATTCTCATACTTCAGAGAGAAAAATGGGAATTACTGACATCAGATACATGTTTCCATTTTTCCAACACATTGTAAAAATCAGAACAGTTGCACTATTGTCTAACTAATACAATGCAATTGCCTGTGTACAAAGAAAATGTGGCATGTGGAGAAGGCTAACTCTAAATATCAGCTAACTTGTTTGTACTCAGATACAGGTATCAGAGGGAGACTGCGGGTATGGGAACAATCTACCCTGAAAGTCTGGTACAACACATCCTACATGGTTTATGGAACTCTACAAAAACAAACTCTGCAAGTCCTGTAGAGGACTTAGTGCTTCCAGCATGTATAGCCAGGTGTCCCACCAAGTCACAGGCAACAGAAAAACAAACCAAGTTCCACTTACTGTATTTACATAATAACTAGCCTAACCACTCATTCCTTCCTTAAATTGCAAACAAAAGTTAGCAAAACAAACAAAACACCCTAAGCAAACAAAAACTAAACACCCAGAATTAATTTCCCAGAAGTATATTAACACTTGAGGTACAGCAGTGTATCAGTATTTCTGCTTTTTATTCATTTTACTAGATGTGACACTGCAGAAAAAAAAAATACTTCTCTGTATCAGTTCTCACACTTAACTATGCCCATATTTTTCCCTCTGATATTCTCAGATTAGAAATTGTGACTGACACTGCCAAAACAACATGTGCTTGGCAAAATCTTTCATGCAGACATCAACAGGTCTCACTGAAGGAAAACTAAAATTAAACCAAAACAAACAGTACCTTATCACATATGAGCTGCCAGTTCATAATAAAAAAATCTATAAAAGTACTACCCAAAATCCAGAGAACAACAATACTGTCTCTCAAAGACAGACAGAAAGAAAGAAAAAAAAATAAATTCAGGTTTCTCTCCTCTGGGATTCTAGCCATTTTTATTCTTCATTACCCTAAGAGCAACAAATTATGACAACTTCACTTTCAACAATGTGGGTTTCACTTTGGGTCAATTTCACTGCTGCACCACAACAGTTCTCTCCTAGGCTAAATAATTCCTACTGAATCAGGTATTTCTACTGATCTCTCACCAGGAATAAAGTACATTAACTCCTCCAAAGGCTCAAAGTATCTCATGTTTAGTTTGCCCTTTAAATGGCATGTCTGTAGCATTTTCAGAGGCCCTGGAAATACTCTATTTACTCCTTCAACAAAGTGAAATTATCTTAACAAGTAAGCAAGGGAAAATAAAACACACTTCCTTGCAAATGTAGCTTGATGAAAATTCTGCAAAACTCCACTGCATTTAGTCTGCTTTTTGCATTTCCATTATTAATCTCTCTTCTGTTGCTTCCCACTGCTTACATTACTTTGATAATATATTTCTAGAGGTTTAATAACTCCATGCTAAAAATAAAAGTCCTCTAAAAATGTGTAACTATAATCTATATTTTGGCCATTCATGCATGACTTCTTCACTAACATGAGATATCTCTTCTGCAGACAGATATGCTATTTGCCAGCACCAGGATAAAAGAATAGGTTTAAATTTGATTAATTCTTAGAATATATAGGACTCCCCCTACATAAGTGCATTTATCTATAGGCTCCTATTGCAGAAAGAAATTTTAGCCTAACACAGAAATTTACTCACCAAAACACCATCATATGAACCAGACTCACTCGTCAGGAAAGCAAACATAGCACACAAGTAGGGATTGTTCAACTGCAGTCTCAGAGTACTGCACATTTCTCTCCAAAGTGAGTTCTTCTCATCTGTGTAGCCTGACAGAGCCATTGCTACAACATTAAGGTTCAGATCACCTGATTAATGAAAAGTGAAACAATCCAGTTAAGGCTGTAAATGAAACATCCATTTGAAACACAATGTTTTGTCAGCATGCAACATAAAATGCAGTAGAATTAACACGACCTAAATTAATATGCATACACTACCACGTATAGTAGCTTCTGCTTTAAATGCCTTTGGTAAGTTAGCATCTACATGCATGACAGCCTCTTTAAACATCACATTACTTGTGGTATTTTGAAATAGCTATAACAAAAGATTGTCATTATCATAATTCATATCCATAAGAAGTGAAAAGACAGGATTGTATATATCCAGCCACTGTTTAACAGACCTAGCTGGAGGATGACAATTGTATACAAAGGTTTCAAGCCAAGAAGTTTCCTAAAACCACGAAAACTATTAAATCTAAATATTCATTCTGTCAGAAAGTCCAGTTTTATTCTTGAATTTGAAAACAGTACATCTCCAATCTGAACCCTCCCTGTGGAAAGCACAGACAGACACTCTTTCTCCCAGCAGTTCTACTGAAGCAAAAAGAATCCCACTAGTTCTAAACATAAGCCTTTCTGGGGCTTTTATGAGGAAGGAAATTCTGAAACATATGATCTATTTTAAATAGACAGTATGGCATATGGTAGTCTGAGGAGTGAAATACCAGGATTTGTCAAGCTCCAATACCAACCAGTGTTTTAAGTAACAATTTTACGACATAAAAGGCATCTCTTCCATACTATCTTCCATAATTATGTTAACAGAAAAAAATCTACTAATGTGATATAGTGCCAAAATAAAAAGCTAAACACAATACACACCTTTTCCTGAGGAAGCCCCTTTATTCAGAATTTGTATTGCTCGCCGTATGTCCAAGTTGAAAAGTGCTACAGCAGCAGCTCGCTCCCAGTCTCCCTCCTGTTCCAATGAATTTAGGAAAGGTTCCACATCTAAGTCTGTTCCCTTCTTTATCCACCCACAGAGCTGCAAAGCCAAAGATCTCTCCTCACTCAGATACTGAATAATATCTGCCTGTCTATCAGATCCACTCCTGCTGTGCCTGAGGTTCTCCGTTGTTCCTAGAAATGGGAAGTAAGTTAAATTATGCTTAAATGACAGTTTCAATTGGAGTCACAACACAGGGCTTTGACTTCAATCATAAAGCAGGGTACAAAAGCTGAGTATTGCATTTTAGTACTTTAACATTGCTTACAACTCCATGCAAGGAGCAGCATGCACAAAATTATTTTGATCTACTAAAAATTATGCACCTAAGCTTGACATGTATTTCTCAGTCTTTTTTCTTTCTTCTACACTTGTTACATTTGACAGGAGTTCTCAGTATGTTCAAATTGAAAACACATAATACATTGTCAAGCACCTGATTGTCAAGCACCTGCTCTACCAGCTCTCAGCCAGCATCAGTGTGTCAGAAGCTTTCCCAAAATGAAGACTCATTTTCTGCTCCAAGAAGCATAGTTATTAATAAGTTATTAAGAAGTATTCAAATAATAAATTACACTAAGAAAGATTTCAGCCAGCATGAGAGGCAGAATGTGATGACCCAGGGTTGATCATCACTTCAGAACAGGTTAGCTTATTTAAACATAGTCATACAAATGTACTTAATACAACAGCAGTGACAACAGCTAAGTCAGCTTTCTAGAACCACACCCTGATGTGGAGCTTAGAAAAATACAATATTCTGCAGGGAATATAATATTATGCAAAAAAGTATAATATGCAGGGAGCAAGAATTCTTAGCGCCATAATCAAAACTCACATGTTTGAAACATTTAAAGATTTACTTCTGAGGATACTATGCTTCTACAATTACTGACTTTCCAAGAACACTGAAAACTCTGGAAATTACTGTTAACTTACATTATTAAAACACAAACAGAAAGACTATGTTTTTATATTTTTGAATAGTCTCTTTGAACAATTGCCAAAGACAAACTCATGAGTGTATCATTCTGCAAACATACTACAACAATACTTATAGCAAAGTTAGAACATTCTTACCCAAAGATGACTTCACAATTGATTTAATGCCAGTGTAAACTAAGGGACCTTTGTTTCCTGTAAGTTTTTGATCCATATCTTCAGTATACTGCTTCATAAGTATTTTCATATATAGGAAGCTTAATTTTTCACAAAAACTGTTTTTAAAAATTTTAAGTCACATCCTGTTAACATATTCAAAGCATTTACAGGACATTGCATTGTATTTAAAGATTTTAATGCATTTTATGTAAGTGATTTATATCTAAAGGTATATTACTTCCTTAGGAAAAAAACTACAATAAAATAAAGGATATAATGCAGAGTGTACCAAAGGGACTTCAGCTGAGGATCTTCATTTCCAGCTAGGAGGTGATTTCTCCAAACTTGTTCAGTATCAAGACCATACCGTGAGAGAGCTCTGAGGCGCATTTTGGTTGCAATGTCTTTTTCCAAGGAGCTAGCCTTTCCCTCTTCTGTACACTCATACAAATGTCGTCCACAGGCCCACATTAAGGATGTCACTGGGCTCCATGCAAGAGAAATTCTTTCAAAAACAGTGAAGTCAGACATAGTCCTGTTGGGAGTCACTACCACCATTCGGTTCTGGCTTGTGGGATGCCAGGCAAATGAAGCAATGTAATTTTCACATGGCTGGACACTTCTCTCAATTATTGTTGGCTCAGTTTCATCTCCAATAGGGGTGGGAGTATGCTGCATGTCATACAGTCTAATGATGTTACTATCCCTTGTTAAAGTAGCTAACAGTCCAGTCCTTGTTGGACACCATGCAACTTTTGTTAAGGGTTTTGGTTGCTCTGTCAGGGTCAAAACAGGCTTTTCAAACTTTCTTAAATCCCATATGGCAACCTGACCTTCATAGAAGGAAGCAACACGATCGTGGAAATAGGGATCAACAGTCACTCCTTGGACAGCCTTGGTGTTTACAAATATTTTTTGGCTTGTGTTCCTAAGATCAAAGATAGCCAGATTTCGATGCATTCCAGCTAAGAGCAGTTTCTGATCCCGTGGAAGCCAACAGAGAGAGAGACAAGCATCATTCTGCCCTAATTCATACAGTGGTTTTGTAACTACCAGGCCTGCCTCTGCATCTCCTGCTGAAAGCCTCACTTTCTCTGTAGCAACTGCAGTCTCTGGGGCATATTTGCTGCTGATGTCCCAGATCAGCACAGAAAAGTCAGCCCGATGTTTATCCAGCCCAGCAGCAAGCCAGTTGCTGTCCAGGGGGTTCCAGGCCAGGGTATTGCACTGCCGAGCGTGCTTGGGAACAAACTCCTTGCCTATCAAATCTTTGGATTTGGAGTTGTGATCTTGCCCCAGGCTGGTAAGCACCACTCGGCCATTGGCCTGTCCAACAGCAAGGAGACACTCGGGATCATACTTGGGATACCAAGCCACACATTTCATGTAGGGAGTGTCCGAGTTTATGGACAGCAGCGTGGCCGTAGTCTCCTCCGACAGCCGCAGGGACCCTGCCTTGAGCTCCGAGCTCACAGCAGAGTCAATGTGATACAGGCTCAGCTCTGAATCGCACACAACAAATCTGTCAACGTGGTGTGGGGCCCACAGGATATCAGGTTTGGAGCCACTCATGGCTAGGGTAAGCTGACACACAATTTAAGGTCTGCTAAGAAGGTTCAGGTGACATCCATGCATACGGAAACTGTTGAGAAAATAATTTGTAAGAACGTTATCAAAACCCAAGTCCTTTATCGGAAATCATCATTAAACAAACAAAACCAAATTATTTTCAGTCCAAGAATTTATCTCATAACACATTTCAGGCCAAATCATTAAGCATTCTCCTCACAACACCTGTTGTTTTTGCTGGTATGTACGCACCGAGGCAGAACCAACACGGCCCCCTACAGACTGATGACAACGGGATTTGCTGTGTTTACAAACTCCTCACCAGCATTAAGCAAGAAGACATTACCGGAGATGCACTGTGCCAAGACACGTGGGTGTGCCGCTGGGAAAGAACCACGCCCTCAAACATTTAGAAGAGAATGTCCCTGGCTAATTAAAAAGCACTAAGTGACAAAAATTAGAGGCTGGCAGTTTTATCTAAAGCCCATAGGCTAGAAAGGCTTCCTGCCTTGGAAGATTTCAACAGAAACTCAAATTGTCATCTTATTGTACAGTTCCCAATCCCACCACCTGCCCCAATGCTACCCTGTCCCCGTTCGCATCTGATCCACCAACATTCAAAAAGGCACATTACTGTCAAAATACTTGCAGCAGCTACCAGCACCACACGTGCCTACCTGCAAACAGACCCCACAGATCCTACACACCTCTGCTACTACTGTGGAACAGACAGGCAAGATCGGGAAGTATGAAAAATCAGCATTATTTACTCGCTTGGGC